AGTGTCGGGGACAGCCGGAGCACGCTGACGACGAACACGAGGAGCACGAGCACGGACAGCAGCTCTAGGCTCAGGCTCAAGGTCAAAGCTAGACTCAGGCTCTCGACGCTCAGGGGTGGAAGCACGAGTCTCAGGCTCTCGACGCTCAGTCAGGGACTCTGACACCGCAGTGTAAGGAGCAGGAGCAGGCAGTGGGGAGTGTGGTAGCAGCGGCGGCTGTGACTGGTCCGCCGGTGGACACAGCAACGGAGGAGTAGTAACTGCCACAGGGAAGCCAGTAGCACCTGGCTGAAGACTGAGAAGGTGGCAAAGAGCACCAGTAGCTCCACCAGGACCTCCAGCACCTCCAGCCCCAGCAGCTTCGGCGCCTCCAGCACCAGCAGCTCTAGCAGCTCCACGACCTCCAGCACCAGCAGTACCTCCAGTACCTCCAGCACCAGCAGCTCCACGACCTCCAGCACCAGCAGCACCTCCAGTACCTCCAGCACCAGCAGCTCCACCAGGACCAGCAGCACCTGCAGCTCCCCGACCTCCAGCACCAGCAGCACCTCCAGTACCTCCAGCACCTCCAGGACCTCCAGCACCAGCAGCACCTCCAGGACCTCCAGCACCAGCAGTACCTCCAGTACCTCCAGCACCAGTAGCTCCAGGTCCTCCGGTAGGAGCTCCGACGACACCAACACCAGAAGGACTCGCAGCACCCCCAGAGTCAGCACTCGAACTCGAAGCACCCCCAGAGGCAGCACCCTCGGTCTCAGCACTCGCAGGCTCAGTACCCTCAGTCGCAGCACCCTCAGGCCCAGTACCCTCAGTCCCAGCACCCCCAGGCTCAGTACCCTCAGTCCCAGCACCCCCAGGCTCAGTACCCTCAGTCCCAGCACCCCCAGGCTCAGTACCCTCAGTCTCTGCTCCAGTGTCCACAGCAGCAGGCTGCAGAGGCGGCGAAGACGGCCGTGGCGGGAAACCCGGGGGGGTCTCCAAGCGAGGAGTGCGGCGAGTGGTCGCCGTGTCGTCGGCGACGGCGTCACCCCCCTCAGGTGAGTCAGAGGAGTCAGAAGAGATCTCAACTGGCTCATCCAAGGGGGGTGGGTCTACCTGGGACACACCTGAGGGAGCAGGACCCTGTGGGGGAAGGGGGTCTACCGGGGGGGGGACTGGTACCAGGAAGAGAGGTGCGAGAGGGACCGGGTGGGACGCGTGCGGGTGAAGTCGGTAGTAACAGACCGACTCGTCAAAGGTGACATCCTGAGAGGACAGAACACGACGCGAGGCAGGGTGGTAGAACTGCCAGGGTGGAGCGTCGGTGGGGAAGCCCAGGAAGACACAGCGGAGAGTGCGAGGGGAGAGCTTGCTCGCTTTGGTATCGCGAACAAGGGAGAGCGCGCCCCAGACCCGAAACGACGACGCATCACCAGGCTGTCCCGTCCAACGGAGTGTGGGCGAGGTCTCTGGAGCAGAGACACGGGGCCAGAGGTTGAGCTGATGCGCGGCGTATCGGACCGCAAACGGCCACAGGAAATGGGGAGCAGCCGCATGGATCATGGAGGTACGAGCAACCTCCATGATCAGGCCAATGCGACGCTCAGCGATCCCATTTTGCTGCGGAGAGGCCGGAAGCGTGAACGACTGGCGGATGCCCTCATCCTGGCAGAACGTCTCAAGGACGCCAGAGGAGAACTCACCACCCCTGTCAGAGTGCAGACGCAGGACTGGGAAGTCCTGCTGAAAGCGCTCGTGCAGCTGGAGACGAGTAGCACGGATCCAGCGGATCAAGACACCACTGACATCCGCCTTGCGCCGCAAGGGGAAGACTGTGGTGTAGCGTGTGTAGTCGTCAACCACCAGCAGGAAGTAGCGCTTCTGGTCCGTTCCACCGACGGGGGCCGGGCCCCACACGTCCATGTGGAGAGTCTGCAGAGGAGCAGTGGTCGGAGGAAACTCGGAGGAGTGAGGAGCGGCGCGCTGCCGCCCCTCGACGCAAGGAAGGCACGGCGGCGCAAGTGAGCGCGGGAGGGGGGGCAGGGTCTCAGGGAGGTCAGTGACCAGGAGCCGGGAGTGCATGCGGCGCAGACGCTGCAGGGAGGGGTGACCAAGACGGTGGTGCCAGCGCTGAGTCTCGTGCGTGAGTACTCGGCACGAGCAAGACGCAGCTAACTGCCCTGACGCAGACGCTCGACTCGACGTAGCTACCTGACCTGACTCAGCCACCTGTGCAGACGCAGTGGTCAGTGTGTACAGACTAGACCCAGGCTGTCGAGTGAACGTAGCCAGGTGACGGCCAGTCCGGGAGCACGTACAGATCGCCACACGCTGCCCTCCAGGAATAAAGGTATCAACCCAGACATCCTGAATGGCAGCGTTGCTCACCAAGTTCGTCGAGAACGTGGGGAGGTGGAGACCTGACAAAGAGCCGGAGGGGACTGCTGGACAAGGGAGGACCGTGGAGGCTCTCGCAGCCACTGGGCCCCCAGAGGGGTCAGCCAGTGAGACTGGGACAGGTGCTGTGAGTGGTGTGACTGTGGTGCAATCACGGAAGAAGCAACGTGACGCGCCGGAGTCAAGCGTGAACGTGTGCAAGACCTCAGCTGAGGCAGGACCTGTGGTAGTAGACGCACTAGCAACTAGAGCGTCGGTAGACTCACGGGCACCTAGAGCTGCAGCAGACTCACTAGCACCTGGAGTGGCAGCAGACTCACTAACACCTGGAGTGGCAGCAGACTGACTAACACCTGGAGTGGCAGCAGACTCACTAACACCAAGAGCAGCGGTCTTAACATAACGATAACCTCCACCACCAGGACGACCTCGCTGAATAACCCACTCACGAAGCTGCTGAGGGGTGGGGTCGTCCGGGAGAAGCAGTGCCCGCTGCTGTCCACCCCTGGCCGCAGCGACTGCCGCGGAAGTGGCCATGACAGACAGTGACTGTCAGGAGTAGGTCCAGCACCTCCAGCTCCTACAGCGCCAGCAGCACCTCCTACACTCCCAGCAGCACCTCCTCCACTCCCAGTAGCACAAGTAGCAGCAGCAGCAGTAGTAACAGCAGCAGGGTGGTTCGGTGGGGGTGGGAGGCCGCACCTCCACCACTCCCAGCAGTACTCCCTCCAGTAGCAGCAGTAGCAGGGCGGCTCGGGCAGCAGCAGCAGACCGAGCAGCAGCAGCAGCAGCAGTAGCACTAGCTGTAGCAAGTGCAGTAGTAGGAGCTGCAGCAGTAGCACTAGCTGTAGCAAGTGAAGTAGTAGGAGCTGCAGCAGTAGTACTAGCTGTACCAAGTGAAGTAGTAGGAGCTGCAGCAGTAGCTTCAGTCAGGAGCAGCTGCAGTAAGTGCTGGAGTAGGAGCTGCAGCAGTAGCACTAGCTGTAGCAGAAGTAGCTTCAGTCAGTACCAGCTGTACCAAGTGCAGTAGTAGGAGCTGCAGCAGTAGCACTAGCTGTAGCTGGAGTAGCTTCAGTCAATAGTAGCTGTAGCAAGTGCTGGAGTAGGAGCTGCAGCAGTAGCACTAGCTGTAGCAGCCGTAGCTTCAGTCAGTAGCAGCTGTAGCAAGTGCCGTAGTAGCAGCAGCAGCAGTAGCACTAGCTGTAGCAGCACTAGCTTCAGTAGCAGCAGCAGTGAGTAGCGCTAGCTGTAACAGGAGTAGCGTCAGTAGCAGCAGCAGTGAGTAGCGCTAGCTGTAGCAGCAGTAGCTTCAGTAGCAGCAGCAGTGAGTAGCACTAGCTGTAGCAGCACTAGCTTCAGTAGCAGCAGCAGTGAGTAGCACTAGCTGTAGCAGCAGTAGCGTCAGTAGCAGCAGCAGTGACAGCTCGGGCTGGGCAGCGCGTAGTAGCAGTAGGCGCGCGTGGGCTGTGGGCGTGCAAACCAGGGGCGCGCAACAGGTGCGTGCGGGGCGGCACTACGAGGAGCGCGCATCAGGTGCGTGCTAGGGGCTGGCGGGCAGCGTGAGTGGCGCGCGCAGCAGCAGGAACGAGGGGGGGACCGGGCGTAGGGGCTGACGGGCCGCGCGAGAGGCGCACGGGGCAGCTAGGGCTCGGTCAGGGGGGTCGCACGTGACTAGGAACAGAAAATCGCGTCTAGGCAGAAAAGGGAACCGTCTCGCCTAGGGCACGTTTTCGCATTTCGCGTTTCTCCTAGGGGCGCGACTCGGGCAGCAGGTCGAAATAGTAGTGGTGGGCCCTTTTAAAATTTCGGTCCTAAGGAGCATTGTGCTCTTAATACCATGTTAGAGTTACTACCTAGATGAGTGAGTTCGATTAGGTAAGGGGGGGGTACAAGGACTATCGAGAGAGATTGTTGTACCCTCTAAGGAAAGAACCCTACACAACCTAGAGTGAAATAAGCAGAACAATATGTTTTGACAATCAACACCCTGTTGGAGTATGAAGGGAATTACACTTAGCATTCCCGTAGGTGCAGCAGTATCGCACCAGTCCTTATCAAAGCAGCAACGACCGCAGTATCGGATCAGCCCGTATCAAGGGCAGGAAGGTCAACAGTCGCAAGAGTCAACTGTCGCGACTGTTGACCATCTGGACCGACGATTGACTTACCATCGATGAATGGCAACAGGCGTAACCGTATGTACAGGTTACATGCAGCGACTCGGTAACAAGAAAGTAGTGCAACAGTCAGAGTCACTGTAGAGATGCCTGTAAAGCAGTTAGAATAAGGGAATGTACCCCACAGAGTACATGGCTAACTAGGAACTATTTATTATGTGTGTAATCTTTGTTTTAATCAACTTTGTCATCTACATTCACTATGATCAGACTTCCGCTGCCAAACTCTTCTAAGGCATTCCTATCCTATCCAAGGTCCTCACTCTAACACACCCTAAACAACACCAGCACTACCAGGAATCTATGCATACCACAGGACGCAGTGTATGAATACACTAGCATACAAACCAAAACATATCTTTACATTTTGAGTCCATTCCAATGCCAAAGTGTTCCTATTCCTGCTATCTTACAAGAGGAAAATCTACGTTGACACAAACTACTATATCAACCACCAATCTTTACTATGGGAGGTGCCACAGCTGTTGACGACCCCCCGCCACCGCCATTCACCTCCATATCCCCCCCTTCATCCGACCCTGATCCTCCCGCCTCCAATGCTGCAGCTTGAGCTGCCGCTTCCAACTCATCACTCTCACACACCTTCACCAACAGCCTTAGCTTATCCGGTACAATCCCAATGTCAGGCCGGACCGACCTATTATCCGCCACGCAGTGCCGGGCCAGAGTCGCCAAGCCTCGAGAAAACACCGGCGTTGACAGGAAGTACCGTACATCAAGCAACAGCTTCCACTGTTGCCATAGCTGCTAACGACCCCTCCGCACCTCCATTGACCACCGTATCCCCCCCTTCTACCAACCCTGATCCTCCCACCTCCAATGCTGCAGCTTCAGCTGCCGCCTCCGCCTCATCATTCTCGCACACCTTCACAACAGCCTTAGTTTCTCCACTACAGTCCCAATCTCCGGCCGGGTCCTCCGATCGTCTGCCACGCAGTGCCGAGCCAGAGTCGCCAAGCCTCGGGCTCCTCGCTCCGGGTACTGGTTACCAAGGCGAGGATCGATGTATTCGGCGGCTTTAAGTGTAAGGTCTGAGAGGCGAGTTCGGCACTCGATGACCATCTTTTCCCCCTCGTCCACCACTCTCCTGCCGGTTACCAGCTCTAGCAGGAGAACGCCAAAGGAGTAGACGTCACTCTTGGCTCCCAGGTGACCTGTGGTGGAGAGGAGGGCAGGGAGGGACAAAGAGGGTGGGGAAGGGAGGGGGGAACAGATTGGAGCTCAAGCAGGAAAACACCGAAGGAGCAGATGTTGCTCCTGGCTTCCAGGTGACCTGTGGTGGAGAGGAGGGCAGGGAGGGACAAAGAGGGTGGCGAAGGGGTGAGGAAGAGAGGGGAAGGGAGGTGGGGTCAAGACACAGTTTAAGCAGGAGACCTCACCCCCAACCCTAAACCAAAGGAGTAGACCTCACTCTAGGCGCCCAGGTGACCTGGGAAGGAGGGCAGGGCGCGAAGGAGTGGGAGAGGGGTAGGGTCAATCCTCCCATCCCCCAATGATATTTTCTTGACTGCCCTCTTTACCTCTAGCCCCATCCACACTCTCTGTATGCTTGTCAGAATCCTCTAGTCACACCTGTCTCTATGTAAGGAGGGTCAATGTACCCCGCAGTCCCCATAAAGCAAGGATGCACGCAACACACACCTCTCTCCATGTATGATGGCCACAGCCCCCCATATATAAACACACACCTGTCTCCATGAATGAGGGGTCCATATACCCGGGTCCCCATGATGGTATGCATGCTATTCAGAGTCACCTAGACGGGTAGGTGTAGCCCTGGTCCCTCCTCCCATAAAGCAAGGATGCATGCCAGTCACAGTCCCCCATATATAAACACACTCTTGTCTCCATGAATGAGGGGTCCATATATCCGAGTCCCCATGATGGATACGCATGCTATTCAGAGTCACCTAGACAGGTAGGTGTAGCCCTGGTCCCTCCCCCCCATAAAGCACGGATGCATGCTAGTCACAGTCCCCCATATATAAACACACACATGTCTCCATGAATGAGGTGTCCATATACCCGGGTCCCCATGATGGTATGCATGCTATTCAGAGTCACATAGACAGGTAGGTGTAGCTCTGGTCCCTCCCTCCTATAAAGCAAGGACGCATGCTAGCCACAGCCCCCCATATATAAACACACACCTGTCTCCATGTACGATGGGTCGGTGTACCCCCGGGTTGACACTATCGACACGCCCTGTATCGTGTATGCTATTCAACATCCCCTCAACACAACACACACCTGTCTCCATATCGCGAGTATGCATGCCAGTCATGGTCCCCCATGTATAAACACACACCTGTCTCCATGTATGATGGGTCGGTGTACCCCCGGGTACCCATCACGCGGGTCGACACGATCGATTGCAGCTGCCTCTCCGGCCCCACGCGCACCATGCCAAAGTCTGTCAGCTTCGCATCGTACTCCTGTGGCGTTGGGCGGGAAGAAGTGGGGGGGAAGATTGAGAGGGATAAAGCACTCGTTGCAAGCAGTCGTTGCAAGCAGTCGTTGCAAGCAGTCGCTGCAAGCAGTCGTTGCAAGCAGTCGCTACAAGCCCTCCGGCCCCACGCGCACCATCCCAAAGTCTGTCATCTTTGCATCGTACTCCTGTGGCGTTGGGGAAATGGACGAGTGGGGGGGTACGGAAGGATGGGTTAAAAGGCAGCCATTGTTGGGAGATTTTTTGTCATCCCTCGCACCATCCCAGAATCTGTCAGCTTTGCATCATATTCCTGTGACGTGGGAAGGGTAAGGACGAGTGGGAAACCTGGAGGGAGGGGGCACGTGTGTTTTGAGTCGACTCGAAACACACATGGAAGATTCGGCGGGAGGGGGCAGAGGCAGGCCATTGTTGGGAAGGTATATGTGATATCTCGCACCCTCCACAATCAGTTCTGACTTTTGAGTAGACTCAGAAGTAAATCCAAAAGCCATGTGATCAGTTCTGACTTTTGAGCAGCACGTTGTCTCCCCTGCCCTTACCGGAGACAGCTATGTGATATCTCGCACCATCCACAATCAGTTCTGACTTTTGAGTAGACTCAAAAGTAAATCCAAAAGCTAGACTTGACGACCCGCACCATCCAGAATTGCGGCAGCAGCACGTTGTCTCCCCGGCCCTTACCGGAGAGAACAGCACGTTGGCGGCTTTGAGGTCGCGGTGGATCAAGTTGACTCCGTGCAAATACGCCAATGCCTCTGCCACCTGCGTGCATGCAGTCACGGTACTTGCACACCACCACCTTCCCCCATCCGCCCCGGGGAACTCACAGGAGAGAGCAGCACGTTGGCGGCTTTGAGGTCGCGGTGGATCAAGTTGGCTCCGTGCAAATACGCCAATGCCTCTGCCACCTGCACCGCCACCTTGAGCCGCATGTTCCAGCTGAAGAAGAGCTCTCCGCTCGCACCTGGTGGAGGAAGGAGGGGGGCAGGGGAGGACGGAGAGTGAGTACAGGGTAATAGGACGGCGGTGCACCTGTTAGAGGATGGAGGGAGGGAGGAGATGGCAGAGAGTGGGTGGTGAGGAATGGGACAGTGGGGCGGGCCATAGCTGCATGTACGCGAGCGCCTCTGCCACCTGCACCGCCACCTTGAGTCGCCCATGCCACCCGTCGTCATGGACTCGTTCACGAGTGAGCAGAGCGAGGAGAGAACTGCGTCTGCTCGAAACTGGTGGTGTACCACCCGACTGTAGTGGGGGTGAACCGTGAACCAGCACGATTACCCACCCACCCGTAGCACCCGACTCACTGGCCAATAGCGCATTGTCCAAGCTGCCCCCCGGCATGTACTCGTACACGAGCAGAGCCTCGTTACCTGTCAGCACCACTGTTGGTTACCTTCCCCTGGCACACGACTCACTATCTAATAGCGCGTTGTCCAGGCTGCCCCTCGGCATGAACTCGTACACGAGCAGACAGGCGAGTGGTGAGTCCACACTGCAATAATAAGCACCTCCCCTGGCACACGACTCACTATCTAATAGCGCGTTGTCCAGGCTGCCCCGCGGCATGAACTCGTACACGAGCAGACAGGCGAGTGGTGAGTCCACACTGCAATAATAAGCACCTCCCCTGGCACACGACTCACTATCTAATAGCGCTTTCCCGTAGCACACGACTCACTGTCTAATAGCGCCTTGTCCAGGCTGCCCCTAGGCATGAACTCGTACACGAGCAGAGCCTCGTGGCCCTCCATGCAGTAGCCGTGCAGACGCACGAGCAGCGGGTGGGACAGCCGCCCCAGCACGATTGCCTCTCTCTGCAGTGATTTGGAAGGGGGACAAAGGAGGATCAGAGGGGCGTGGTGTGTGTGTGTGTGCGTGCAAAATCTCCATGAGGTAACAGTACAGGGGCAGTGAAGGCGCAGTGCAGGCACACGCAGTGCGGGCGGGACAGCTCTGCAGCACGATCACTTCTTTCTGCACAAGGGGTGTGTGTGGGCGTGTTTTGTTTGTGTGCGTGGTAAAATCTCCAAACAGCAACGGTGCAGGCGCACAAGGGTGCGGAGGAAGAGATCTCCAGCAATTTTCCTGCATTTGAGGCTGAATCTGTTTTTTTTTTAGAAATCGTTTTTTGAGAATTCTAAAAAAGGGACGCTCGTTAGAAAAAGTTTGCATCACATCACACCCTGTCATCTCATGCACGCACCTGCCGTAGTATCATGACCCCCATTGTTCTCCCACCCACCCACGCACGCACGCACGCACGCACGTACGCACCCACGCACGCACGCACCTTAAACTCTTCCGAAAATCGTTCGTTCGCCTCGCGCATTCTCTTAATCGCCACTTCTGTCCGCTCAGGGCCAAGCCCATTCGACCCCGGCGAAATTATCCCCCAATACACTGTCCCGAACCCGCCTTCGCCAATGACATTTCGCCGATGAAACCAGTTCGTCGCAGACTCGAGTTCGGCGAACGAAAACCGTCGCAGGGAGCTCGGGATGAGGTCAGGGAGAGGATTGTCGCTGGTAGTGTCAATCGCACTAGGATTCGCGGTTGAACCGTCGGCCAAAGCACTATTACCGGCGTCACTGGCGCTAGGATTTGGGGCTGAGACGTCAACCGGAACAAGATTATCGGTGTCACTGGCAGTAGGAGTCGAAGTTGAACCGTCGACCGAAACAATATTACTAACGGTGTCACTGGCACTCGGATTCGCGGTTGAACCGTCGACCAAAACTAACTTATCCGTGTCACTGGCAGTATTCGAGGTCGGAACCACAATAAAGTTATTGAAGGTACTGGCGCTAGAAGGATTTGCGGTTGAGCTGCCGAGCGAACCAATATTATCCGAGGTTTGAGAGGTGGCGGTTCTGACAGATGATTTATTCTGGCTGCTGGGGCTGGCCTTGACGGCGCCACTATCAATGATTGATGTCCGTGTGTCACGGTCGTCTGATTGAAAAGGGACAATGGAGAGGGGAATCGGGTTTATTGCAGAGTAAGGGAAATGGAGAGGGAGAAGTAAGGTTACCATCGCATTGGAGTCGTCGACTTACCCCATCCGCTTGAAAATTATATCATATCTACTTCGCCTGCTTCAGAAAAAAATATGAGATTTTGCTGAACAGGTTCGAATCAAATAGAGCGCATTCTTTCGGCCACACGATCCGAGGCACCAATGCCTCTTTTTTTTTGTACATTCTGCCAAATCGCTATTCAGATCGTCTGAGAGAGACATAGGGACCGACGTACGTACCCATTTTCGACATGAAACAACCCATTTTTCTTCACGTAAAATAGTTTGACGCGGCGGCCCTGTTATTGAACCAGAATTCGGCTTTCAGTCCATGTAGGGAAGAAAACAAAGTTCGATATCTACGTCTGTCAGCTACTACATTCCCATTCCACTGCCCGTTGCTATGCAAGCGTAGTAGGACATAAGGCTATTAAGTTCACTCCGTTACGCAGTAAGGCTGAACATGAAGACTAGTGATAGGGAGCCTTGCACGGTTACGACTACAAGCGGCTGCGAATGCGTTCCGTGTGCTGGTTATAAACAAGTATACTGAACGCCGTTTGTCTATTTTACAAAAACGACCGAACCAGTGTCACTCGGTACGATCTGGAGAAGGAACGATAGGAACGCTTTGAATGCGAATACTCTCTGTTACGCAGTCTTAAATGATATACTGTAATGCAATGGTGCGAATACTAGTATCAGTGAGGCGTCAAAGACCTGAGCAGCAAGAAGCAGGCTGCTTTATTACGAGAAAGAAACCGACGAGTATGTTTAGAGACTCGGGAATTGGTTTCTCAGGTTTCTCAGTTGAGTGTGTGCGGGAGAATCCCGAGGGAACCAGTTGCGTAATCCCGCTGAATTTCGTGTGTCAGCCTGGTCGCAACTTCGTAACAATCTCGTCTGTACCTAGCGGAGTGCTTCGCCACAAAAACCATCGCCAAAGACCCAACGAAAAGAGCTGTTTGGCTCGCACGCAAAGCCGCAGCTTCCATCCCATATCAGAAGGATGGATGCACAGAAGGAGCCAGCTTTCGTTCCGTCAAGCCGGGACAACCTTCGTCTAACCGAGTACTGTAGTAGAGCCAAGCCGATGAGAAGTGTTGACGGAAAATGACGGACAGACCCTGCTTTCCTGCCAGGATATTGGACGGGGGCAACCGTTGAGCCACAGCGATGAACGAGCGACATGGCACAAAGCAGGGAGTTGGGTTGGGCTGGGTGGGCACACCCACTAGTCGTGCAAGTGACAGGGTTAGTCGCCTGGTGGTGGTGTGGTGGTGCCTTGTACAATTGATGCCCAACCAGTGCACGCGGATTTGCCTTGCGCCGGATGGAAACGCTGCACCCGAGGTTGTTTCCCCAGCCTGTTGCTCCCACGTTATAAGCGCGTCGCGTGGTTATCAACCAATAGTAACGAACAGACCGAGGTCAAGCAGAAGAGACTGAAGTCAAATAAGGTAACAGATCTTGTTTATAAGCACCTGCGAATCCTTTTTAGCTAGCTGCGAATTGACGAAACTTATGCGAAATGCTCGTTACAGCTTATACGCCCCCTTCACAAGGCAACCGGGAGGGGCTCAAACAGGCATCAATTGTAGCGCAGTTCCCCTCCCCTTCCAGAAGTCGGCTTCACATCCTCCCTTGTGGAACACTGCTGTACACATGATGCCTGATTGAGCCCCTCCCGGTTGCCTTGTGAAGGGGGCGTATAAGCTGTATCGTACATTTCTCATAAGTTTCGTCAATTCGCAGCTAGCTAAAAAGGATTCGCAGGTGCTTATAAAAGGATATGTAACCTTATCCGTTGACATTTTGACTTCAGTCTCTTCAGTTTGACTTCGGTCTGTTCGTTACAATTGGTTCATAACTACGCGACGCGCTTGTACCGTGGGTGCAACAGGCTGGGGAAAAAACCTCGGGTGCAGCGTTTCCATCCGGTGCAGAGAAAATTCGCGTGCATGGGGTGGGCATCACCTGTAATATCTGGAGCGTTTCCTTCATCCTCCCTTGTGGGGCGGCCTGGCAGGCGACGAAAGGGCAGCGATTGCAAGAATCTGTGAGGCGGGGGAGCAGGCCACGTGGAGGGTTGAATTCTTATCCATATGGCAGAACCCCAAGACCTTCCATCGGCCACCGTAATCACGGGCAGGGGGGGGGAGGAGGCACATGAACTCCGGTTAAGGCCTGTCGGTTCCCTCCAGAATCCAGTTACGACTGTGAATGTATTTGCATGGTTTTAATGCAAACTCGTTCTTAAAAAAAAAAAAACAAGAGGCGACGAAATCGTCTTAGGGTTGCGAAGCTTTTTGCTTAATTAACATATATTATATAACCTTTAATACTAGGTATGGCTCGTTTTGCATGACTACCTAATTATATCAAGTATGTAACTGAGGTTAAGGTTTGTAAAAAGATTATGCCGAGAATCGAAACTGCGATCTCTTGATTCGAAAAGCGGCTTCAACCGACTGGCCTACCGCAGACGGATTTTTGAAGATCTGAATTTTGTTGGTACGAATGTGACGCGACGAAATTCATATTGCCTTAGGGTTTGCATGTCTCTTTTTTTCCCCGCTCTCTTCTTCTCTCTCGTCACGCTCGAGTAACAACTCCACCTACCAGATTAAGGTGAGAAGATACCTAAGATCCACCTGCAACTAATTTAGATTACTATTAGATCGACTATTAGTAATCTCGTATCCTAACACTGTAAAAGGATGACGATTATCTAGACTAGGGTGTTTAATCTAAGGTTCTATGCTCTTTGTAAAGCCTGACTTCTCTTGCATTTCTTAGGTTTCGTTTCTTCCTGCATAATTTAGCACCCGTTTCTTCTTATCTTCGTCCCTACTTTTCATTTCGTCGGTTGCCTTATTACTACCTCGTATTTGCATGTTTTCGTTCATTTTTTTTCTCATCCTTGTTTAGAGCCGTCCTATCTTGAAACCGGCGTTGTGTTGTTTCTTAAAGCTCGCGTCTCTAATTTCCAACCGTTTAACACTTGGTTGGGTTTGCCAGGGTTTGATTGGGTAACGAAAGTCGAAATATTTGACGAGTGGGCGAAAAAAACACAGCGAACTCCAAAAGATCGAGGCCAAAACAAACCAGGGTGGGTTGGTTTGGGGGGAAACCGAGGCAAGGGTGACAGGTTTGGTCCTGGGTTCTGTCAACGTTCAGTTCAGAGTCTCATATTTTTGGGAGTTGTAAACACTTGGTGTGCACGGGGAAGTGTGCGACAGCCAACTTTCCCAACCACCCCTTGCTTTGGTGTGCTTCGCGACAAACTCTGCTGTTACCGGATTCCAACCGTTTAACACTTGGTTGGATGGCAGAAATATGAGACGCGAGCTTTAAGGCCGGTGCGTTCCTTATCTTCAATGATCTCATTGCTTTCCTTTGCCTTTGTGTTTGTTGCGATCAGAAGTTAATCACCCTCAGGATCACCTCAGGAAGGTTCGCACAGTCCTAGTCTAGTGGTGGTGGGCCCTTGACCTCAATGGCAGAGTGAATGTAAATGCTTGAGATAATAAAAACATGCAGTACAAGG